GCTAGGGCAACAGTGTTTCTTTAAAGGAAAAAATGGAGGTGGTCATAAGACAGGTGGTCAGTCCAGGGGGTAGCAGGAATGTGAAGAGGGAGGAGAACCTTTAGGTGGAGCCTCCTCTAAAAATGGAAATACCCTAATTGACTTGCTGGCACAGTGAATATTTATTGAGAACCTGCTGTATCCTGGGTGCTGGGTACATGGCAGGGACAAAAAGAGACAGTTACTGTCCTCATGAGGAAATAAGAAACACAATAAGTAAAGGTCCGGGGTGTTGCATGAGGGTGAGAGCTGGCGGGGGCATTGGGGGGGTCCAGGGGCTGAAACTTAAGTAGGGAGATCAGAGGAAGCCTAAATAAGGAGGTGGTGACTGAGGAAAGCCCTATGGCAGCGGTTCTCAACCTGTGGGTCGCGACCCCTTTGGGGGTCGAACGACCCTTTCACAGGGGTCGCCTAAGACCATCGGAAAACACATATATAATTACATATTGTTTTTGTGATTAATCACTATGCTTTAATTATGTTCAATTTGTAACAATGAAAATACATCCTGCATATCAGATATTTACATTACGATTCATAACAGTAGCACAATTTGTAACAATGAAATCGGAGGTCACCACAACGTGAGGAACTGTATTAAAGGGTCGAGGCATTAGGAAGGTTGAGAACCACTGCCCTATGGGAACTAGTGAGGCCTGCGGATGCACCAGGCAGCGGACACAGCCCATGCAAAGCCCTGGGTCGTAACGTGCTTTGGCCGTCTGAGTGTGGCTGGGGTAGAGTGAGGGCGGGGCAGGAACCACGGGTCTTTGGGGTGGGTCTCTGCAGCTGGATTTGCCTTGGCCCCTGGGGAAGGCCTCTGTCTACCTTGCCTCCATTCATGCTCCACTGCCCTCCTGTTGAAGGGCCAGGGCAGGGTCCAGCTCTTCCTGCTCTCTGCCCCAGGTTAATAGGCAACAGGTTTGCTCCTCTAGGTCTGTGTCCTGCTCTGACCTCAGTCTCCACCATGGGGTGATGTCTCTCTGCCTTGAACCTCCTAGGCAGCTAATGCCTCATGGGCTGTCCACCTCGTTAGTGACAGTCGAGGTCCTGGGAGTCACCGGGGGAGGGGAGGAGAGCGGAGCCAGGAAGGCTGGCTGGAGGAGGGGACTGCACTTGAGCAGAGCTTGGAGGTGGAGGAGGGAAAGGGAGGCCGAGGGAGCTGATGGAGGGTGACGGGGAAACTGGAGGGCTGGGAGGCGGAGGTGTTCTCAGGGTGACAGAGCTGTGGAGGGTTGGGAGACAGGAAGGCGCTGGGCAGACAAAGGACCCCCAGGAAGCTGGGAACCAGCGAGTGGAATGGGGACTTCTCCCCTCTACATCCCCCTCCTCCAAGGAGGGAAAGGGCCCACTGGGCCACGGGACTCCCTCTCTCACCCCCACCTCCCAGCCCGCGTGACTCGGCCCCACCCTCCCCTCATGGCCAAGGTCGTTGTCAGCTGTTTCCTTTCAATTAACACAGGAATGTTCCAGCGCTGGGCTCCGAGCCTGCCTGGGCCAGGACCCCCTCATTCTGGCTGGAGCTGCCCAGGCGTAGGCTCTTGGAAGAACCAGTGCGATCCCCACCCCCGCCTCGGGCCCCGCCTGTTCTGCCCGCTGGGTGACCTTGGGCCCGTTGCATAACCTCTCTGGTCTTTAAAAAATAAACGCCCGGCAAAGCTGGGGCCTCCGCCGGGCGCGTTGGGTTTGGGCCTCATTAGCTCATCCTCTGGGGCCGGGATTATCTCAGCGCGCTCACGGCCGACACCCTCTCCTCGTCCTGAGCCGCCCACAGTGCCTCTGGAGCCCAGAATTTGCTCCAAGCGCCATAAAAATAATCGCGCAAGGGCTGGAGCCTTCGCCGCGCGGAGGGTGGGCGTCCCGGAGCGGGCGTGCCCCTCCACCAGCAGTTGCTAGCTGGGCCCATGGCGAAGCGCATCAGTGGAGGCGCAGAGCCGCCAGCGACTCCTCCCGCGCCCCCCCATCCCCCGGTGTGAAGCCAGGGGGGCAGCTGCCACGCAGTTCTAAATCCTCCCCTTGTGTTTTAGCCAAAAACGGAGCTTCTCCACCCAGCCTGTCAGATCTTTTGTGGTCTGGCCTCTGCTTTCCTCAACGAGCCCTAGAGCGCATTTCAACCATCCCACTGGCCCATCCCTGCCCTGCCAGACCTCGGGGACACCCCCTCCTCCTTGCGCTCCTTGCGCCTGTCCGAGCGCAGGTCTCACCGCCCCCACTGGGCAGCCTCCTTTCATCCAGTGATGACATGGGTCTAAGGCCATCAGGAGGATGGACACTTAGCATGTGTCGTTTACAGACTTCCCTCCTCCCCAGCCTCAGTTTCCCCTCCTGTTCAACGAGGCTGGGACCGGCCTGGAAGGTGGGGAGCGCCCGGGAAGGGGTTCTTGTTTATAGCTGTTTCACGAGGGTTCAACGGCCCTACTGTGTTTTATTTTTCTCATTTATGATGCTGAACGTTATCTTGGCTTAAACTTGGCTACCTCGCGCCAGGGGCGGGTCCAGAGCCTTCCAGGGTAGGAGCCCCTCCCTGGGCGGGTGCCCCTGGACCCCAGAGGGGACTCCACCCCCAAGCAGTGGGGGCGGGGTAGACCAGTTACCTCCGCCTCCCATCCTTTTCAGGCCCCTGAAGCCCCTGCTCCCAGCACTGGGCTGGGGGCGGGAGATGGTGGCGGGCCCACACCCTCGTGCAGGCCTCCGAGTTGCCTTGGGGATGGCGCGGTTGCCAGGGCAACCGCCTTCCGCGGGCCTGCCATCCATCACCAGGAGGCAGAGGCGCCCCCAGGCCTGGGGAGGGGCCATGAGAAGGGTGCACAGCCTGCGCCCCTTGGGCTGTGACAGGGACGGGAATGGGGAGGGATGAGAATTCTTTTGCGGCCCACCTGACCCCCTGCCCTGGCTCGGCCAGCAGGGACAGGCTGCCTAAGGCATGACACTGCCCGCCTTGTCTGCAGCCCGTGGAGCTGGCCTCACAGCCGTCCCTGTGTCCCCGTGTCCGGTCTGAATGACCACCTGCCCACCATGGTAGAAACATGGCATTAGGTGGCTGGTCCCTCTGCCCAGCAGGCCCTGCGTGCACTGGGGTCTCAGCTGCTATATGACCCCTCCCCAGCTCCGCCTCCTTCCTGGAGGGATCCCTGGGGGCTTGATTGGAGCTGGGAAAGGGATGGCTGGCCTGTGTGTGGTCCAGAGCTGGGCAGCTGTGGTTTGAATCCTAGCTGTTCCCCTTCCTAGCTGTGTGACTTTGGGCAAAGAACTTGCCCTCTCTGGGCTTAGTTCCCAGCCATGGGAAGAGCATACCAGGCAGAGGGAACAGCAGGTGCAGAGGCCCTGAGGTAGGAATGACCTTGGTGTAGACGGGGCACAGCCAAGAGGTCCTGCTGGCTGGAACAGAGCGAGGAAGGAGAGGAGGGGTGAGGGCAGGCCAGTGGGTGGGGGTTGGGTGATGCTGGTTTCCTCATTTCTCTCCAGGGGTGATGGGAGCAGGGAGACTTAGAGCAGGAGTGTGACAGGGTCCAATTCTCCTTTTGAGATGCTGCCTCTGGTTGGGGGGTGGAGAGAGGCTGTCAGGGGCCAGGGAGCTGGCAGGTAGTGGTAGATTCTGGGCTGTGGTGGGAGATTGGGGTTTGTGAGAAGTGAGGGGATGGGAACACAGGGGTGGCACCCGGCCTCCTCGCACAGGGCGATGGGCAGACCCAGAAACCTAGCTCATCTGGCCCTGCAGGAAGGGCCTGTGAGCTGAGTAGGGGGGTCCAGCTTTTCCTGAACTCCATTCAGCCGAAGCAGCTTTCCTGAGAAAGGAGAGAGGGAAGTCGCAGAGGGTGCAGCTGGTGCTGCTGGGGCCCTCGGAGGCGCAGAGGGGGGGCAGGTGCCACCCGCCAGGAAGGGAAGAGTTGAGTGGGGTCACCTGGCTGGGGCGTGGGAGCCAGATGACTTCAGAGGTCTCAGTGAGGCCAGGAAACTGAAGCTGAGTAGGACAGGCGGCTGGGGCGCTGTGGTCCAGGGTAGATCACCCCAAGGGCACCTGGGCGGGGCCGGGGCGGGGCGTTGGCCCGGGGTGAGCCCAGTACACTGTGTGATTTGAGCCTGTTTTCCTGCTAAGCCACAAGGGGAGGGGGCGGCTTAACAGGGAAGGTGTAGAGCTGGATGTCTGCTCCAACTATCCATGTGGGTAAACTGAGGCCCAGAGGGGCAGATGGTCTTTGGAGACCACAGGGTGGTTCTGGGCTCTGATACAAGGCCAAGGGGTGTTGGGGTGGCGGTAGAACCAAAGAACGGTCTGTAATTTCAGTCCCTGAGAAGATAAGGGGCTTTGGGCAGGGAAAGGGGACAGATCCCACCGCCACCACTGTGCCCAGCTGGCCCTGGCCCTGGCCCTGGCCCAGCAAGACTGGGCCTCCTGTCCACGCCTCCCAGAGAGGCCTGGGATCATTTGGGATTTGGGGCAGAGGTCAGGACCCCCCCACCCCCACCCCACCTAGGGCTGGAGAATGCTCCCCAGGCGGGAGGGTGAGCAGGGGCTGTCCTGATCTGTCTCCCCGTCTGGGCAAGGAGGTGAGACAGCTTGTCTTGACACACCCTTCAGCCTTTGATTCCTGGTGGACCCCGATCTGTCCTGTACAGCCCAGCCTCCCCAAACCCTTCCTGGGGCTTTAGACAGAGCCTCGCCACCCCTCTCCCCTCTCTTGGTACTGCCCTGAAGGGAAGGCAGGAGGATCTGTGGGGAGAATTAATGAGGTAATAAGGCTGGATCGGGAGAACGGTGCTGCCTCCGAGGGGGGCAGGTCCCGCTTTACAGAAGGGAGACTCGGGAAGGCCGGCCAAGCCTCTGGCCACCATCACCCTTGGCCACCATCACCCAGCTGGAGGACAGCCCGGGGGTTTGAACCAGATCTGCTGAAAGTCGGGGTGGGGTGGACCTCTGGCTTGACCTTGTCTGTCTACTCCCCCCGCCCCCCCCCCCGCAGGGTCCTGGCAGGGGAGACCACATTCCAGCAGGAGCGGCTGCAGGCCATTGCAGTGAGTTCTTCCTACCCCTTGGGTGGTGTGGCCAGTGGGGGTACCTGGGTCTCATGGGCTCCTCCACCCAGCACAGGGACCCTGTGACTCAGTGGTGCCTGCTGGTGCTTCCCCACAGATAAAAACCTCCTTAATCCTTGGAATGTGGAACCTTAGACCACTAGCCCTCTTAGAGCCCCTTAAAGGTGGGGAAACTGAGGCATGGTAGAATCCTGCCCTTATTTATGCCCAGGCTGGGGGAATGGGCTGGTCGGTGGGCAGGTCAGAGGCCAGTGGGCCAAGTGGGTGCCATTTACAGAAAAAAGCAGGCTCTCTGTGGCCAGAGCCTTGGGTGGGTGGGTGAGGTCTTCGTGGTGCCCCTGCCTGGTCCTGACCCCATCCCGTCCGTCTGTCCATCAGGAGAAACGGAAGAAGCAGGCAGAGATTGAGAACAAGCGGCGGCAGCTGGAGGACGACAGGCGGCAGCTGCAGCATCTGAAGGTACCAGGCGTCGGGCTCCCCCTCCGGAGCCCGGCCTTGGCAGAGGGGCGGGAGGGGGCGGCAGTGCCCAGAGGCCCCAAGTCTCAGTCGGATATGGGGCTGGGAGAGCAGGAAACCTGAGGTGACCCTGATCCAGACTCCGACCCCGGTTCTGACCCCGCCTCCTGCTGCCCCCAGTCCAAGGCGTTGCGGGAACGATGGCTGCTGGAGGGGACTCCGTCCTCAGCCTCAGAGGGGGACAAAGACATGAGGAGGCAGATGCAGGAGGATGAGCAGAAGGCCCGGCACCTGGAGGAATCCATCTCCAGGTGGGTGGGGAGCCACACAGACCTGCACGAAGTCTGGGTGGGGGAACCCGGAGCAGTGGGCCCTGAGGGGTAGGATGGGGTTTGGCCGCCTTGCTCCGTGTGTGTGTGTGTGTGTGTGTGTGTGTGTGTGTGTGTGTGTGTGAGAGAGAGAGAGAGAGAGAGATGGGAGCAGAGAACAGAGAGACCTCCACATGCTGGAAATGGGGGTGCACAGGCTTTGATGCCACAGCTCAGTGTTTTAATGGGGATGTGTAACCGGGCTTAAGGTGGCCGAGGGAGGCAATGTGGGCTGTCGGGGGCATCGGCTGCCCTGCCCGACCCCTCCCTTCTGTTGACACTCCAGCAAAGCAGGTGCAGGAGGTACGCGGAGTCAGGGCGGATCCCTGCGTCCCTGAGGATGGGAGTTGCCAGCAGTGGCCTCCCCAGGGGCTTCCTGGCGCCAGCCCAGCCAACAAGCTCTTCCCAGCTACGTTCTAATGGAGGCCACAGAGGCACTGGCAGCTGGGCCTGCAGGAAGGCTGGGAGGGGCAGGCTGGGGAAAGTGACCATCCCCCTGGGCTGGGACAAAAGGCCCAGAATTTCCGGGCAGGCGAGAGGCCCAGGCGCAGCTCCAGGGTAGCAGGGTCAGGGTGGAGGGAAATGACAGCCAACATTCCAAATGTCCACTTGGCCAAGGAAAGGCCTGAGAGGCATGAGACCTGCCCAGGCCCCATCGCACACTGGGCCATCGCCCCGCAGAAGCTGGCCCTATGGCGGGGACTTAGAATCCTGTCCTGATGTGTTTGGTTTGGGAGAAAGTGGGCTGGAATTTCCTTCCCTGGCCTCAGTTTCCTGCCTGTGAACAGAGAAGGCAGAAGTCCTTCTGTGCATCTTTTTTATTTTTTTAAAAATATATTTTATTGATTTTAGAGAGGAAAGGAGAGGGGGAGAGAGAAACATCAATGATGAGAGAGAATCATTGATTGGCTGCCTCCTGCACGCCCACTGGGGATTGAGCCCACAACCTGGGCATGTGCCCTTGGCCGGAATTGAACCCGGGACCCCCCAGTCTGCAGGCCGACGCTCTATCCACTGAGCCAAACCAGCTAGGGCTGTGCATCTTAATTCCCTTTTTAAAATATATTTTTATTGATTTCAGAGATGAAGGGATAGGGAGAGAGAGATAGAAATATCAATGAGAGAAAATCATGGATTGGCTGCCTCCTGCACGCCCCCACTGGGGATTGAGCCCACAACCTGGGCATGTGCCCTGACCAGGAATTGAACCCTGACCTTCTGTTTCATAGGTCAGTGCTCAACCACTGAGCTATGCCAGCCAGGCTGTGCATCTTAAGTCTAACAGACATTAAGCTGAGGGCTGAGACGGGTCTACGTAGAGACAGTCAGGACTGACCAGACAGAGCAGCACTTGCTGGGTGGGGTGGAAAGTCAGTGGAAATTACTGGCCACGAATTACTGGCTGGACAAGGTGAACTTCTTTACATCACACCTTGTTGGGTGTGGCCCTGGGGTAAGGAGGGGCTCGCTTGAACCCTACTGTGAGTTTCGCACATGCTGAGTGCTGTGAAGGGGCCTGGGCTTTCTCCTTCTCAGAGTAGCTCCACCGTGGCTCTACCAGCCGAATTTTGCCCATTTGATGTCCCCTGACTGGAAACCTCCTCCAGGAAGCCCTCCAGGCTGACCCAAGATGTGTCCATCCTGTTGACATGGGCTCATTTTGTTAGAGGGCTGCAGACTCATCCTTGTCTGTCCCTCTGGGTAGGGGCAGCTGGGCAGGATTTAATATACCAGCTTTGTTTTCACAGGTTTATGTTTAGTTATCTTCTGATACTTGGAAAGTGACATGTTTTTTTCCAGTTTTCCTGTAGAGATAAAGCTTCCTGTAAAAATAAATGTATTTGAGTGGGAAAAAAGGAGAGTCAGTTGGAAGCAAATGAAGTCAGCAATGGCATGGGTGGTGAAGGGACCAAGCAGCCTGGGTTCAGGTTCCAGCTCTGCTACTTGCTGGCTACGTGCAGTCTTCACTCTGCCTCAGTTTCCCCAGTCACGAGGGGAAGTGACAGGAATACCTCACAAAGTGTGAGGAAACATCAGAGTCAAGGGGTCCCCTACGGAAAGTGCCCGGAATGGTGCTGGGCGTGCGGAAGGGCCTGGTGAGGCTGTCACTGCGCCCTCTCTCCAGGCTGGAGCAGGAGATCGAGGTGCTGGAGAACGCAGACGCACGGCCAGCCGTCGCCAAGGAGAACGTGGAAGTCAAAGGGTCCCCTACGGAAAGTGCCCAGAATGGTGCTGGGCGTGCGGAAGGGCCTGGTTAGGGCTGTCACTGTGCCCTCTCCCCAGGCTGGAGCAGGAGATCGAGGTGCTGGAGAACGCAGACGCACGGCCAGCCGTCGCCAAGGAGAACGTGGCAGCCCCCAGCCCGGCCAAACAGACCCAGAAGGCAGAAGTGGTACTGAATTCTCAGCAGGTAAGGAGGTCCCCAGGGCCCCACCCCGGCCGGCCCCAGAGTGAAACCCCACCCCTGCTGGGGCCAGATTCAGCGCTTGCATTCACACCTCATGCCCCGGCCAGTTTGGCTCAGTGGATATTGTGTCGGCCTGTGGACCGAAGGGTCCTGGGTTCGATACTGGTCAAGGGCAAGTACCTCGGTTGCTCCTCCCTGGCCTGGCCCTCGTCGGGCCATGTGCAGGAGGCAACCAATCGACGTGTTTCTCTCACATGGATATGTCTCTCTGTCTTTCCCTCTCTCTTCCACTCTCTAAAAATCAACGGAAAAAGATCCTCGGGGGAGGATTAAAAACAACAACAACAACAAACAAATCTCGGCCTGCCACTCCCCAGCCATGGGACCTGGGGCACCTGGCTTTGCCTCTCTGGGCCTCAGTTTCCCCACCCATAAGAGCACCCACGTGCTGGGGATGTCACAAGGGTTAAATGAATCCATGGACGAGCAGCACTTCATACAAGACCTGACACTTTAGGAGCTTTCCACGACTGCCACCCCCTTCTCATCTTTGTCATTACTTTTGCTGAGCACTGTGCGTGCTTGGTCCATTTGACGGAAGGCAAAAACTGAGGCCCAGAGAGATTGAGAGAGGGGTTCAAGGCCATACAGTGAAGAGTGGTCTTTGTTGGACTTAGCTATTGATTTTAGGGCCTGATGTCTATAGCAGGTTCTATTGATCCCAGACCCTGGAACAGTGGGCCCCAAGCTTGTGGTCACCACAGTACATTCACGCAAATCCAGGAGTCTCCCAACCACATTTATGCTTAGGACTCCAGGGGCCTATGGGACCCGCTTTCTTTCCCCCTACCAATCCTTGCCACCCCCACCCCAGAAGCCCGAGGAAGCATCTGATTCATGGGAGGGCTGGGCAAGCTTCTGGGAAGGATGTGGGTTTTGAAGGTTGAGTAGGAGTTCTCCAGGTGCAGACTCAAGATGAGAGAGGGATTTCAGTGAGACTGATTGAGTGTAGATTGTTGGCATGGTCTCTGCCCTCATGATGTCCATATTCTGGGGAGAGGGGGGCAGAGACAGAAACACTGGCTGAACAGATAATATACAGTAGTAACTAATTTGAGAGATTGCAGTGTGTTTGGGGGGCTGCCTTTGGATTGGGTGGTCAGGGGGAGCCAGACAAGAGAAATCCAGGGAACAGCCTTCCTAGGTAGAGGGGACACACAAAGGCCCTCCCTAGTACAGGAATGTGTTCAAGGAACAATGAGGAGGCCAGGGAAGCCAGCGGAGATGGATGGAGGAAAGGCTGGTGGGCAGGGGTCTGCTTACACAGAGCCCAGGACATTGTCCAAAAGGATTCTGGGGCACTAGGGAGCCACTGATACTGCTGAGCCGGGCAGGGACACCCGGCTGTCACGCTAGGGGTGGGGGATGGGTCCAGGAGGAGATGGCCTGCGGTGGGGTCACGGCTGAGTCAGACCTTCCCAGGCTCCTACCCCCATGGGTGGGGCCCTGGTTAATGGGAGGGGACATGGGCACCACTAACCCCTCTGTTCTTTCTTACAGACCCCAGTGGGCACACCCAAAGGTATGCTTCCGGAAGGGACTGGCTGGGCCTCAGCGCACTCGGTGCCCAGAGTGGGGATGGTGTTCGTGGGGAGAGTGCCTTGTTGCTAATAAGTAACAATAATGGCAACAAGACTGTTATTGTTACTGTTCCCAAGGAGCCCGACTTGGAGCCTGGCCCCAAGCCCTCATCATCATTGCATTTAGTTTTCACAACATCCCTGGGGTGGGGTTGCTGCAGTACTCCCCACATGCACCCCATTATAGACGAGGAAACCAAGGCCTTGCAGGGGTGTGACTGGGTGAGGCCTTAGCCTTGGAGTTGAGGCTCTGGGTCCGTCCTGTCCACTTGAGGGTGCCTGGCCTTGGCTGACCCTCTCTGTCCACTTGCTCTGAGCTCCTGGGCAGGTGGTGTGTGTGGGCGGGGGTGTGTGTGCCTTGGTTTTCACATCTATAAAACGGGGTCTGTGGGGATGAGAGTTCAGAGGGGCTCGTGGGGAGAACAAGGTCCCCACTGTCCTGGAGATCAGGCACCATTTAAAAGAACAAGAGTCCAGGAAACAGATTAAAAAAAAAAAAAAAAAGCCCGAAATTTGAACTCTGGGACCCATTTTATTCCCCCCCCAAATTATTATAGGTATAATATACACATTTGCAAATATTTCACATGTATATAGGACATTTAAATGTATATGCTTAGGTATAAATATAATCGTTAATTAAGTATATTCATTATATTAAAATTATTTAATATAAGTTATATTTTTAAAATATACCTTAAACTTGTCTACTTTCCTATGGGGAGTATGGAAGGAGAGTCACCAGCTAGAAATGAAGGTGGTGGCCAGAAGTGTCTTGGCCTGATTTCTTTTGTGTTAATTATTCATAAGGAGAGTCTCCTTGTCTTACTGGGGAATTAAAAATTTATAATTAAAAAAAATCTACGCAGGCTTCTCAGGGATTTTGTGAAAATCACTTGGGCCGAGAGGCAGGAAATGGACTGTGGGCCGATGTGTGTTCTGTGAGGGGAGGGGTCCCATGGGTGTCTGGGAGTTGGGGGCGTGTGCATGCTAGGGGAGGGGCCACGTGTCTGGGCAAGTGTGCCTGGGAGGTGTCCATGTGATGGGGCACGTCTAGATGGCTGGGTGGTTGTCCTGGTGTCTGGGGATTCTGTCTCATCTCTCCTCTGACCCTCATCTCTCTCTTCACTCTTTGCTCCCGAAGCAGCGAAGCCAGCCTCCAACACCCCCGTGAGGACGGTGGAAGGCTCCCCCATGATGAGGGCAGGTAGGTCAGCCCCCCGCCTCGGCCCCCATGTCCAGCTGCTGTCCAGGGCCGAGTGTCGGCCCTGGGGAGCCTGTGGTAATGGGGGTGGTGGCTGGACCAAGGCTGTAGCTCCAAGCCTGGGGTAGGGCTTGGCCGATGCCTCTGCTTTGGCTCCTTGGTCACACGCCGGTCCAGCTTCCCCAAGAAGATGGGCCCCCTTGCATGGCTGCTCTAACCCATCACTTTCTCACAGCTTCCATCCCCATAACCTCGCCACTCGCTCCCAGAGTCCCGAGGGGGTGGCGCACATGTTCAAACACACGCACACACTGTAAACCCTCTTCCTCTACACTCAGGCTGCCTCAGGAGGGGGCGTGAGTGCCCTGTCCCTGGCGGTGACCAAGCTGGGCCTCAGGCATTCCTTCTAGGAAGCAGGAAGAGACAGGGTTAGTGCTAAGCATTCTACGAGGTCAGGTTCAAATCCCTGCTCTGCCCACCAACACCTGGCACCTGAGTCTCCAGCTGCGGGAGGGGTGGAATTGCAGTGACCTCACACCTAAGGCCTGGCAGGGAGCCATAAAAGTCACAGAACCTTCCTGCTACTCCTGCTGTTATTGGGGCGAGGAGGGGGTGAAGACCCTCTTAGGGGCAGGGTGGCTGGGATGTGACAGCACTCGGGAGGCAAAGGCAGCAGAGAGGCCCAGGGTCTCCTGCAGGGTCCAGGTGGAGTTCTGCCCCAGCGGGCAGGAGGCAGGGGTACTATTTCCAGAGAAGAAGGGGGGCATCTTCAGGGCTCCTGTGCCAGTTAGACCACCCCCGAGGCCAGCACTTGTCCCCTCAGTTGGCAACCTCGTGCAGTGTACGTCCCGTCCAACTCTGTGTCTGCAGATGGGGGTGTTAGGCTGTGTAGGGACATGAGATTAAATAACATTGAGTCATTCTTTCAACAAGTGCTTATTGAGCCCCTGCTGAGTGACACAGCCTGGGGGAGCTGGTATTCTGATGGGCCCACAGCCCATAAAATTAACTTACGGAGAAAACAAGGCAGACCCTGAGGAGTTGAAGGGGAGACAATTTTAATAAGAGGGTTCAGGAGAGGCCAAAGTTAGGAGGTGACATTCGAGCAAGGACCCAAAAGAAGTGAGGGAGCAAGGCATGCAGACATCGGGGTAAATGAGGTCCAGGTGGAGGGCACTGCGCATGCGAAGGCCCTGAGACGGGTATGCTGTGTTGTGGCAGTGGAATCAGTGAGGGAGAGGGACGAACCGAGGGCATGGAGGTGACAGTGCAGGTCTTGCAGGGTCCCCTAGGCGTGGGAACCAGGGAGGGCCCTGGGACAAGCAGGGATGTGCCCACTTAGTGCTCACTGGCGTCCTCTGGTGGCTGAGGGAGAAAACAAGCGGTGGGAGGCCAGGGCCAATCCTGACGCGAGTTCTCACAGGTGCCCTCTGGTGGCTTTAGGGAGAACAGACCGTGGGGTGCAGACGGGATGAGAAGTGTGCTGGGTTCAGGGTGTTCTGGGTGAGAGAGGGAGAGGTGGGAGCTGCTCTTACGGGGCAGCGAGACCCTGGAGGGGCAGATTGAGAGGGAACTTGGACGTGGTGATGTGGGGGTTCCCATGGTTGGGTGGAGGGAGGCAGTGTGATACTGGAATTTGGGGTGGGGTCCTTGGGTGTCAGTGTCAGGACTCAGTCTCCCCGTGTAGTGTTGTGGTAATGATTTCGACAGAACGTGGGTGAGAAGCTGGGCAGGGAATAGTGGCCCTAAGGGGTAATGACAGTCCTTGTTTTGAGAGGAAATTATCCATTCTTCATAGAGGTAGATGACAGACGCCGTAGTCGACTAAAGAGAGGTGTGGACAGATAATGTGGGGGTCTGGCCTGTTAACCCACGTTCCGATGGTAGCTGTGACCATGGGCAAGGCAGCCCTCCTTCTACACACTCTCTCTCGGAGCAAGTGGGCTAGTTTAAGGCTTCCCACATAGGGTGGGTGGCAAGGATGGGCCTCGAGTGGAGCAGAGGAATACAGACCTAAGAAGTGAGGGAGCAAGGCATGCAGAGATCGGGGGTAAATGAGGTCCAGGTGGAGGGCACTGCGCATGCGAAGGCCCTGAGACGGGTATGCTGTGTTGTGGCAGTGGAATAAGTGAGGGAGAGGGACGAACTGAGGGCATGGAGGTGACAGTGCAGGTCTTGCAAGGTCCCCTAGGCGTGGGAACCAGGGAGGGCCTGGGCCTAGCAGGGATGTGCCCACTTGGTGCTCACTGGCGTCCTCTGGTGGCTGAGGGAAAACAAGCTGAGGCCAGGGCCAATCCTGACTCGAGTTCTCACAGGTGCCCTCTGGTGGCTTTAGGGAGAACAGACCGTGGGTTGCGGAGGGGGTGAGAAGTGTGCTGGGTTCAGGGTGTTCTGATGGACAGAGTAGAGCAGTGGTTCTCAACCTTCCTAATGCCGCGACCCTTTAATACAGTTCCTCATGTTGTGGTGACCCCCAATTTCATTGTTACAAATTGAACATAATTAAAGCATAGTGATTAATCACAAAAACAATATGTAATTATATATGTGTTTTCCGATGGTCTTAGGCGACCCCTGTGAAAGGGTCGTTTGACCCCCAAAGCGGTCGCGACCCACAGGTTGAGAACCGCTGGAGTAGAGCGTGAGAGAGGAAGAGGTGGGAGCTGCTCTTACTGGGGCAGCGAGACCCTGGAGGGGCAGATTGGAAGGGGCTCTTGGACGTGGTGATGTGGGGGTTCCCGTGGTTGGGTGGAGGGAGGCAGTGTGATGCTGGAATTTGGGGTGGGGTCCTTGGGGGTCAGTGCCAGGACTCAGTCTCCCCGTGTAGTGTTGTGGTAATGATTTCTACAGAACGTGGGTGAGAAGCTGGGCAGGGAATAGTGGCCCTAAGGGGTAATGACAGTCATTTGTTTTGAGAGGAAATTATCCATTCTTCATAGAGGTAGGTGAGGACAGACGCCATAGTCTACTAAAGAGAGGTGTGGACAGATAATGCGGGGGGGTCTGGCCTGTTAACCCACGTTCCGATGGTAGCTGTGACCATGGGCAAGGCAGCCCTCCTTCTACACACTCTCTCTCGGAGCAAGTGGGCTAGTTTAAGGCTTCCCACATAGGGTGGGTGGCAAGGATGGGCCTCGTGTGGAGCAGAGGAATACAGACCTGCGGCCAGGGCACTGGGGAGCCACAGAAGGATGTTGAGCTGGGGAGGTCTGCGCTTAAGGTGTCCCCGCTGCTTGGCTCTGTGCTGCCAGCTCCCCTCCCTGGCTTGGCTGCAGCCCAGCGGGGGGCACTTGGGCGGGTGGCCATGGCGTAACCCGTGCCTCTCGTGCCAGCCATGTACTCGGTTGAGATCACGGTGGAGAAGGACAAGGTGACAGGGGAGACCCGGGTGCTGTCCAGCACCACCTTGCTCCCTCGGGAGCCGCTCCTTCAGGGCGTCAAGGTCTACGAGGACGAGACCAAAGGTACGAGACCCCCACTCCCTGCCCCAAACCCCCTCTCACTGCCTGAGCCAGAGCCTGACCCCCATCTGACTTGACAGGGAGGGATGCCTTTCAGGGACAGGGCCTCAGCCCCTTCTGTTGCTTAGAGTTTGAACCCGTGGCCCAGGCACTTGCCTTGAAGGCTGGCTAAGCACCAGGTGCCAGACTGGGCCGGGAAGCAAACCCCAGTGGGACTCCCTGGTCAGTGAGCCAAGCCCTTCAACCCTGAGCTCACAAATAATTTGTTGAAATAATTACTGTTGTGATAGAGGCTACAAAAACTCCCAAAGATAGAGGGGGCCACGAGCTGGTCAGGCAGGAGGGGGTCAGGGGAGGTAAACAAGTGCATGAGGGGTCCAATTTCTCCGAACCCTTGACATGTTAATGTGGTTTTTTTTCTTTGTTAGTATAGCCGTCCTGTTGGATGTGAAGTGATGGAATGGAGGAATTCCACTGTGGTTTTGATTTCCAAAGCCTGTGTTCTTAGTTGTTATTTGAGTCTCTGGGGTGCCCAGAATGCTACTATGGGGGTCCTGCTGTAGCCCAGCTCTGCTGTGCTTTAGCAGCGGTCGCCACCCGGTGGCCCGTGAGGTCCAAAAGGTTGGCGACCGCTGCTTTAGAGCATAGACCCAGGTAGGATTCTGGTCCAGTTATCAGCTGTGTGGTCATAATTCATATACCATCAAATTTACTCTTATTTAAATAAGAAACATGTTTATTTAAACTGTACACTCCATCAGTATTTACAGAGCAGTTTCTTTTTTTAAAAAAAGTATATTTTATTGACTTCAGAGAGAGGAATAGAGAAAGGGGTGAGGGAGAGAGAGAGAAATATCAATGATGAGAGAGAATCATTGATCAGCTGCCTCTTGCACACCCCCTTCTGGGGATTGATCCCTGCAACCCAGGCATGTGCCCTGACTGGGAATTGAACCGCAGCCTCCTGGTTCATAGATTGATGCTCAACCAGTAAGCCACCCTGGTCAGGCCATAAACATCTTTGTTCACTTTTGGCATGAGCGGTAGGATATACATAAAGGACCCTGGGGAGGGAGAGTTCTGGCAACATTTTTGTGATACTAGTAAAAGAAAATAAATCCACTTTAGTAAACAAAATATGTTTTAAGAAGACATGTTAAAAAGGTACATTAAAAAATCAAGCAGTGCTCGCTTCGGCAGCACATATACTAAAAAAAAAATTTTTTTAAATTGGACCGATACAGAGAAGACGTGGCTTCTCTTACGGAGCGTCATGTTTTTAAGGTCCATCCATGTTCACATCTTAGGACTGAATTGTATTCCGTTGTTTGCATGGACCACATTGTTTATCCCGCCATCCGTTGATGGACATTTAGGTTGTTTCCACCTTATGGTTTTATAAGTTTGTGTGAGTGAATGTTTCATTTCTCTTGGGCACATACCTAGGAGTGGGATTGCTGGGTCATATGGGGACTCTTTAACCGCCTGAGGAATTGCTGGGGTGTTTTCCACAGTGGCTGTACCATGTTATTTTCCCACCAGCAGTGCATGAGGGGTCCAATTTCTCCGAACCCTTGACATGTTAATGTGGTTTTTTTTCTTTGTTAGTATAGCCGTCCTGTTGGATGTGAAGTGATGGAATGGAGGAATTCCACTGTGGTTTTGATTTCCAAAGCCTGTGTTCTTAGTTGTTATTTGAGTCTCTGGGGTGCCCAGAATGCTACTATGGGGGTCCTGCTGTAGCCCAGCTCTGCTGTGCTTTAGCAGCGGTCGCCACCCGGTGGCCCGTGAGGTCCAAAAGGTTGGCGACCGCTGCTTTAGAGCATAGACCCAGGTAGGATTCTGGTCCAGTTATCAGCTGTGTGGTCTTGGCAGAAATGACCGCATGAGGCTGAGTGGCAGAGATTTCTGTGCTGGCAGAAGGTCCTCACCATGGCCCCTCGGTCCAGCCCAGCCCCAGCCCTGGGGAGTCAGGACCCTCTAGACTGGACTCTGGTTGCTTAGCAATGGAAAGGTGATCCACTTCCATGGCAGCTGAGGGCTCAGATTCCTATCTTGGGGCAATGGCCATTGGGAAATACTCAGCTGATTCTGTATTACCTGGGCATACCCATCCTCTGGGCCTCCAGCTCAAAGTCACTTTGAGGCCTTGAAACGTGGACCCCCCCACCCTCTCTGGAAACTGAAAGTTGAGAGCACTTTCCTTCTGGCCAGAAGCCAGAAATTGGAGCCCTGACCCTTGGCCAGGGAGGAGTGAGTCCTCAAGCTCTGTAAGTCCCTCCCTCCTCCCCAGGCAGCCAGGCAGCTGTGCTTCTAGGGCTGTGATCTGGGGCTGGCGTCAAACTGTGGCTGAGATTCCTCTTGGTGCTGAAACCCCATCCTTAGAGACTGCAACACAGTTCAGAAAGCGACAGATCAGAGAGACACAGAGAGGACGGTTGAAGAGATTTGGAAAATGCATTTAACAGATTGATTGCAGGGCGTTGGGGGGAAAAGATTGATTGCAGGAATAAAACTCTGCCCCATGGAGAATGAATGTTCTTGTCAAACACAGGTAAAGCATTTTCAGAAAGTGGCCATGTTCTGAACTGCAAAGGTGTCTATAATATCTTATGCTCTGTATCCCCAGATTACAGTCCCTTACTCCCCAATATTTAAAAACATCTTTTGTAATAAATCTTGGCTTAGAGAGACAATCAGTCAAAATGGAAATTATAAGATATTTAAACTTGAAAGAGGAAAAAGTAATTTAATACATGGGCTGCAGCCAAAGCTGAACTCAGAGGAGAAGGTATAGCCTTTGGGCATTTACAGGAAAACAAGAAAGACTGGGTGAATGAACTAAAATTAATTCAGAATCAAACACATAAACCAGAGGAAGGAAGAAAGGATCCCTGCAACTCCTGAGGGCCAGGAAACAGACCTGGACCAGGGTCAGGGTCCACCTAAACAGCTATGTTAGCCTCCTGTAATTACTTCCCTTCTCTGAACTTCTGTTTCTACCATCTTTTCAATAGGAAAAACCCCCAGTAATACAAGTAAAATGCAAGACAATAACATCCCATTCCAGTCTTTGTTTGTAACAAGTGCTTTTGTGCCCAGGAATTTTCCTGTGTACTCCAGTTTGGCTGTGCCCACAGATCCCAACAGGGAGCTTAGATGTCCATCTAATTTGGTTTATGGTTTTCTCTCTTTTTAAAAATATATATTTTTATGATTTCAGAGAGGACGGGAGAGGGAGAGATAGAAACATCAGTGATGAGAGAGAATCATTGATCAGCTGCCTCCTGCACGCCCCCTACTGGAGATCGAGCCTGCAACCTGGGCATGTGCCCTGACAGGAATCGAACCGTGACCTCCTGGTTCAGAGGTCAATGCCCAACCACTGAGCCACACCGGCCGGGGTATGATTTTCTCTTTAGCCTGGAGTGTGGCTCGCAGGCCTGCCAGGCCTTTCCTCCGGTCTCGGGTCTCACTCTCTCTCTCCACCCCGCCAGTGGTCCATGCCGTGGACGGCACCGCGGTGAACGGGATCCAGCCACTGAGCTCCTCCGAGGTGGACGATCTCATCCACAAGGCAGATGAAGTCACGCTGAGCGAGGCAGGGCCCGTGGCTGGGGCAGCGGAGACCGGGGGGACGTCCGAGGAGGCCGCCCGGACCACCACACCCTCCAGGCAGGAGATCACGGGAGTCCAGGCGCAGCCCGGCGAGGCCAC